TGAAATATTATCTTGCCCACTTAAAACAGTGTTGTTCAGGAAACTTAAAGGGAAAATATAACAAAGAAAAATACTAATGAAGAAGAAGGGTATAAGAAATAATTTTGTGTTTTTCGTGAAAAAAATATTAAAAATAATTAAAATTACATTTTATTACATTGAAAGATTGGATTAATTCAAATCCTTATAATTTATGTAAAGAAATACTGAAAATGTATTATATTTAACATGTATGATATTTGGCGGAAAATAATTTTTGAATAATTTGTCGTAGATGTGTTTCGTACATTTCTTCATTTTCTTAATTATGTGTATACATGCAGGACCGTTAGCATTGTACTTGATTTGGTGGTTGCTGGGATCCGCCAAAGCCCCTAAAAAGAATACACAGCCAAATTTAACACGTTTACAATATTTAGGAGAAATTTTATCTGGTATCCCATACCACCTACTCGAACAAAAGACTCTATCACTTATCACTTATCACAATACTTATTTAAGGAAATCTGGTATTACTTGTATAAGACCTAGAAATTCAAATACAATTATTATACCTGACAGCCAAAATATTTGCGATTTGCATGTCGAGCACATATAGTGTCTGTCCCTAACAAAAAAATACTATAGTTAACTATAGTAAACTATAGTTACTTAAAACTTTGATTTACAATAGTGATAACTTTGACACTTTGAAAAACTTTATAGAAAAATTTGACACTTTGAAAAACTTTGTCGAAACTTTGACACTTTCAAAAACTTTGACAAAAACTTCGACGCTTTGAAAAACTTTGTCGAAAACTTTGACACTTTGAGAAACTTTGGCGAAAACTTTGACACTCTGAAAAACTTTGGAAAAAATTTTGAAACTTTAATTTACTATAGTTAACTATAGTAAACTATAGTTAACTATAGTTTTTTTGTTAGGGGTGTAACCTTCAATGGTTTCATATATATGCGGTTTCCTCTGTGTTGACACATTGACATAATTTGGCCTTCAAAATTATAAAAATCTCTTTGGTATATTCAAAATATAATTATAAGCAATTTTTAGCATTTTGTATTACGACGTGTATCATGTATCCAAAACATAGAAATATTTCAATCTCACCCTTTATGATGGGAATCTGAAATATCAAACAAATGCTAGAATAGTTTAAATCAATAGATACATGGATTTTGAACACCTTAAATAATACTAAAAGGAACAAGGAAATTTTAAAACAAAGAATTATGGTCCCCTGCTATCTATGTCCTTGAGAGTAGGACGTTATCATTGTATCAAATCTTGTCACAGGTAATGCACATTTTGAAATATGAAAGCCCTATCTCTTCTCAATTAAACGTTGTAAGGATGTAAATCACTGATGACTTTTTAATAGGTCTGATGATAAATATTGTTAAGTAAAAGAATCTAAAAATGTATTTTTTTTCTTTCTTTAATCATGATTCAATATTCAAGAAATTTTGACAAGGGCAATAACTCCTTCTGAGGTATAGTCATTCTTTATTGTACTTCTAATGTAAAATAGTTTTCCTGATATTCAAACTTCAAAACTTTCCTAAAAGTACCAAGTATTTTGGAACTTTCAGCATTAGAATTTTGCATTTGAACCAGTTTGTACATGATTTTTAGAATATTGTTCATAAAAAAATTGCGATTTTTTATGTTGACATATACCTCTGTTAATATGCGATATTCGTATATCTCCCATTTTAAATAACATGACAACCTATACCTTTTGCATTAACTGGTAAATTTAAACTACATTAAATGAAAATAACTACAGTTTTAATTTTGTACTTTGAACCATTAAAATTGTAAGTGTGGAAAAACATTAAATGCAAATATATATATTGGTACGCAAAGTAAGGTCTCCTCCTGTTTAGAAGATTTGGCCAAGGATACGTTTTTGAAAATTAGGTCAAACTCGAAGGTCATCTGAACTGTTCAAACGTAATCATCAAGGTTATAGTATTTAAAATGTACGTAAAACTTTAAATTTCCACGGTCAAAAGGTCATAGTTATTGGTATCCAATAAAAGTTCATGCATCAAAAATTTAAACGTGAAATATGAAAGCCCTAGTGTCTACCGTTCAAACATTAAGGCCAAAGTAAAAGTTTGGAATTTTAGTGTCAAAGTGGGTCAAACTCCAGTTTAAAAGGTCAAATTAGATGGAAGGTCTTGCCACATATACATGTATGAGTTGCGTCAAGCGAAAAGGGACTTTCGTGACAAAATTTTCGAAAGTCTTTTTTTTACCGATTCTGAAAGAGCTAGTTTTTCTGAATATTTTGACATCAAATTTTTTATTGTATACCTTCTAAATTTTAATTCAAACTCAAAATGAAAGCAATGCAATTTTAACCAGATAACGCTATAAAACATTGACTAATGTCACATAACGTTATTGATATTTGGAACGTTATTATTGTATTAGTAAAAAATAATTTTATCTACATGTACCTAAGTTTTTCAATGTCTTTCCCCCCACATTTTAGCATTTATATGATCGTATGCATTGTAAAATAGCGATAAGGCTGTTAAAAACACGTTTCATATATCTGTATATGTAGGCCAATATTGAAATAATAAAGAAAGTTGTAAGTTTTCAAAGAATATATTCTACGACACCATTTCATCTTTTTTTCTACAACATGAACATAAGCATGCTTTAATCTCTGAGAAATTAGTATTTCAAAGGATCCTTCACAAGGGGATAGATTGATGCATGTGTACAAAACCAAACAAGTTCCTACTCTAAAGTTATCTCGCAAGGCATTCGTAACAACACGGATATTTTCCACGGGAGAAAAACAATATATGGTCACGAAAATGAACGAGTATTTACGATTGTGTTCAAGGGAGTAAAATGAATAATTTTTGTTCATGTAGTAAGGTCTTAACTAAGGATTGATCCCGGTCAAAGTTTTATTATATTCCTTTCGCTATAATCAGCTATCTCATGATCGGGAAAACCGAAAACATCCGTCGTCAAATTAGTAAATAAATAATGGACTAGCAATAAGAATGAAAAAAAAACGTCAGTCGGCATTTGACTCAGTGCATTTAGCTATAATATTTTATACATTTGTTTTTGTCTTGCAATTTACATGTACCTAAGACAACATGCCATTTTAAGTCCAAAATTAAAAAAAAAACATTACATTGAAAACCTCCTATTATTTTGGCCTGTCTCACCTTTGGAGTTAAAATTATGTTGAATTTATTACCGACTTCCAATATTATCTCACATTCTTTGTTTCTTTACTCACTCTGCCAATATCAGATCCGATGGAGTTCAAAATGTGTATTCTAAGTACATGTGTATGGCGCAGAATTAAATCTTGGTCAGTTTACTCAGATATTTAAAATTTTGTGGAGCAGTGTCATTCGGAAACCCTTGAGGAGGGTAGATGCAATTAGTATCAATACATGAAACGCGGAAATCATTTTTCCTTACGACAGGAAGATTAAGACTCGAACAGATTAAAATATCTATGCTACATGTATCATTTTTTCCGGTATAGTTAAACAGTAACTACAAGTACATGCAACATAGACGTATTATGCAGGCGAACTAAAATGCAAAGTTGAGATCTTTTTTTATTTCAACAGGAAGATTAAAACTCTAGATTCATATATGTATGCTACCATTTTTTCCGGGATAATTAAACAATTATACATTTTCTTTTGTTGATGCATGTACAGTGCCGATTAATCAGAGCATATCATAGGAATTGGAAAGACTGTTTTCAATCAATAATTCCCAATATTCTAAACATAGTGATTGCTATCTATATTTCATAGTTGATTGCAATCTCAAAAGCCTTTTGCATTGATTGCAGTATTACTTCTTAATAAGAATAAGCAGTAATTTTGATTTTAAAATGCTATCGTTTATAATGATTTATGTCGAAAGTAAACATTAATTATTTTGACGTAAAATCCATGTAAATGTTCCTATCTTTTTATCCATTAACCACCTCTTCATTACTTTTAAAGATATATATTTGTTTGAAGACAAGTTTATATTTTTGACCATGCAATCCAAGGTTCGAGGGTATATGATTTTTGTCATGTCTGTCTGTTTGTCTGTTAATCTGTTTATATGTTTATCCGCAAAATCTTTGCCCGTTATGTTTGATAGATTGGAACTATGACTTTCATTTTCTCACATATGTATTCCTTGAGATAAGAACCCACTTTGGGAATCAACATATTTGACCTCTTGTCATTGAAGTTTGGCCATTTTTATCAAACTTCGAGCTAGGCCATAGCTTTTGAACAGTTAGTTTTAAGGCTTTCATTACTCAATGGTGTATTTCTTGTGACAAGACCTTCCTCTTTTTAAAAAAAAAAGACTTAAACTACAGTTATAACTTTTGAATGGTTGATGAAAGGGTTTTCATGCCTCATAGGTGTATTTCGTGTGACAAAACTTCCCATCGGATACCAACATATACAGTAAATACTTTATGACCTTGACTTTTACCATCCTTTGAAAAACATTCACCTTATACATTACTTCTGAAAGGTTGGTAGTATGGCTTTCATATTTCACAAGTGTATTTCTTAATATAAAACTTATCTTTGAGCACCATTAATTTTGACCTTTGACATTGACCTTGATACCAATACTGCGTTTTTAAAACTTGAATCTTCGCCAAAACGTATTTATGTTTGGAGCTAAGATTTTCACATTTTTCAGTTACTCTCCCTGTGACATGACTTATCTTTGCTTTGACATTTTTTTATCTTTTGACCTTAGGGTTTAAATTACAATTTAGAAACTTTAACCTTTGTCATGAGCTGACAAACGGGGATATCAGTGTTTCATAAACACATCTTGTTCATATATCAAAGACAAAATTTAATGTGCATCATAGCACACCAATAGAATTTTAGAAGTATATTGCATTCTGAATAACGGAAGATTGTTCATAACACTCACGCATAATTGTATCATTTTTTTATCTTTAAGTGCATATTTTTTCGACTTCCTGGTTTAAACATGTACTAATAATGTACTTTCTATACAAGTCAGTTTAACTTCTGTTTATTTTAGAGAAAAATAAGTAAATGAAGATACGGGATAAAAAGTTTGTTCTTGTGTGCTTTTCCTTAGTGATATATAATGGTTGGTAAGCCTTTTTATTTAATTTTTTATCTAATTTCAAAATATCATTTTTGAGAAAAGAATTCTTAATTTAGGACTCTTTATATACAATGTTTTTTTACATTCACGTAGCAAAAAATAAAGAATAAGTCAAAACAAAGTCCTAAAATTAGAAAAAGATATACATTGTAGCTTTTTAAAGAAGATGTAGTGCACATCAATGATAAGAAAATCCATATTATATTTATTATATAGGTATTTTGAATGAATTTATTCTATCTAGGGTACATATAATACGTACTTATTCACAATGGAATAAAAAGGCCTTCACGGAATGATATGTACAATGTGACTTAATTATATTGAAGACCCGCTAAGAAATAAAAGTAAAATATGCATATTTAAACTTAATCGTCAAGCAATGGTCAATTCAAGTATCTTATCAAATTGTCTTTGAATTCCATGTTCACAACTGTCTACAGTATGGATTACGAATTAATAAAGATCAAAATTCCTGCGATATTGAGTTAAATTGAATTTTAAAAAAATACGTTTGAATTCTTTAACAACAAGTATTAATTATTTCGCCTTAAATGCTAGCCGTCACGTGATTTGTATGAAGCAGAAGTTGCTGAAAATTGAAGCATTCAAGGAATGTAATGTTTTAATTGAGGTCTGTTACATCTGACATTCCAGCTCAAGAGGTGTAGATAAGAGTCGTTTTTATGGAATTTAATCCTAAGAACATCCTATAAATGACTGAACTCTTGTATACGATTTAGAGGCTCATTGTTCAATTAAATGGAGGAGAATCTCGTAAAAACATCCTTAATCAATCATAAATTCAAAAATCAACAATAATATAAATATGTATTAGAAGCATTATTTTCGTTGTAATATAAAAGTTTTGATATCAAAATAATATTTTTAATTAAGAATAACTGAATAAGAACATTAATAATCTATTATTCTTATAACCTGACAAGTGATTTAATATTCCTACATATCCCACTATGTAATTATAAGGATTTATTTGATAAATACGTATATCTAAAGACATACACATTATGGTCGCAAATTTCTGCCCCTACATGCAAGATAAATTACAAAGTATGTCAACATGCAATTCAATTATGTCTACATGTATACTACTTATGTTGATATTAAGGTTGCCAATCTTTTTAAAGAATCTAATTTTTATTAGTAGTAATCTTACTTACCAAATCTAGTATACCACATAATACAAACAAGATGCAACATAATTATGCTAACATGCAAGCTCATTATTAATGTGAACATGCAAGATACATGTATATATGCCAACTTGCAACCTATTTAATTATGATAACATGCAACATACATAAATATGTACGCATGAAACTTATCTCTGTCAATATGGAAATACTTTTTATCCACATGTGATTTACAATTTTACATGTAAATACTTTATGTAAACATGCAAAATAACAATTTGCTTTTCAACATACATATCTCTCATATTGACATAATTAACTCGTATGATAACATTAGACTGCATGTCAACATAATCATTTAGCATCTAGCCTGTATTATGTCATACATTATGGTGTTATGTATAACATTTCCAATATCAAACTTGGATTCTCTAAATAGATTCGTAACTTGCATGTCAACATAATTATACAAAAATAATAAATCTTGACATAAAAAAATCGCATGTCTACATAGTTATAATGTACGTTAACTTTATTTATCTTGCATGTAGCGGACAGAAATTTGCCACCATAAAACATAAAATTAGAATAATACATTTGTGACAATCCCAGTGTTTTTTTTTTAACACAATATGCAAGATTCCTAAGTAGGCTGCAAACAATCAAACTATCTATTTAAATTTTTATTTCGAATGTTTTTTTTTCTTTCTATAAGTTTAACAAAATTATTAAACACTGCCTCATAGATATACGTACTAAAATTACTCTTAGACTAATTGATGGTTATTTGGTCACCAAATTTCTTTATCTAGAGAACTTTTTAATTCGCAATATTTGTGTAAAATATGGCAAATTTAAGGGATATATGTGTATATTTTTCCTTTTCTTTTTTCAATGCAATATATAGCTAGTCTATCAGAAAATGATAGCCAATGCCTTCTTCAAGGGCTTCTAATTATAAGACGATATGAAACTTGGACTGATTAAGACACAAACGAAGTGACGATTAAATTGTTTTGCTCTTAAGAATAAGCTTCATTTAATTTTTATCCCCCAAGAAAATCTTTCTTAACAGATTTTATTGCAGTCGTGAAATCTGAGGTTTTTGAACAAAAAATGAAATGACACATTTCTTCACTTTGTTAAGGAAAAGAAACGAATATGTATTTTTTCAATGCTTGTTTGACATTTTAGAAAAGAGTATATATAAATATATTTTACATCATAGATTTTTTATTATCTAGTTGATATTACCAACTGCATACAAAACTCATGGAACTGGTTTGAAGCTCAACAACATTGCAGCGATTCTAATGACACCCTAAAAACCAGTGGTGTAACTTTGAACTCTGATCAGCACTGGACTGGTGTTTACCGGCGATATTCACCCTGGATTAAACTTTTAGGTATTTTACGTGACTCTGCGGCTCAACTTTTGGTCATATTACATTTTTTTACAAAAAAGAAGTGTCAGATGACATAGTTTACTGTCATTACAATGATGTCGTTTTCCTCTTTTTAGGGTGTTATGATTCTAAAGTCGTCAGTGAACATAGAACGTTCAATTTTTTTTTCAACGTTACATCGGCAGGTTTTTGTCAAGAGATATGTGCAACTGTAAATTCAACTCATTTTGGAATTCAGATATCCTTTATATATGATATGACATGGATACAGTCAAAATGTTAAATCAAACTGTGTGTGTCCCGATGTAAAGTAGATTTTTTGTCATGGTCATCAGCGGCATAAAAGAAAAAATGGTCAAATTGTATACCGATCAATAACGTACACACATACACATGTAAATTCGAAATGATGCCAACCCTTTTTCTTTTTTTAAATTCTGGTAAATAGAATCGTTGAAACTCAGACGCATAAGCGGATAGAGATAAATCGTGTAAAATAGCTACCTGTTCAAAAACAGCTCAAAATCATAATTACCAAGATGTTCAAAAATAAACCCAGGTAAAAATTTATTTCATAACCTTTGGTCTCAAATAGTCACCAATAAAAATGCACCCAGGGACAACCTTCAACCCAGGTCAATCCTCTACGTCACATCTGAAATAGTTATTTTTTCTCAATGAAATATATGATCTAGAACAGTACTTTTTGCAATACATATGTCATTTTGTATTTCACAAATACTTTTTAAATTTACATATAAGAAGTGTCATTGCCTTACTTCAATGAATTCATTGTTTTTCAAAATGTTTTAGTCAGGAGAATGTGTCTGCTTTGAAGGCTCCGTTTTTCCAGAGACCCTCTCATCAGATCTGTGCAATAAATCATGTTATGATGTTGGAGATAAAGGAGCAATTAAGTTTTTGGAATGTGGGGGTCCGAATGCATATACTGTATATACTTCAGGTATTTCAAATTCACTTCTAGTATTTCTATTTAACAATCTAAGAATATTTACATTATATGATTCTTTTTATTTCATTGTATCCAAACTTTTTTTTGTTTCCCATCATATTTTAAAATTTTAATGAAAGACATTATGGTCCATTTTTAATTGCCGTGGCATTTTCATTAGAATGCAAAACATCCCTCTTGGATGTCAATGTTCGTTAACATTGACATAAGATTGTACATTTTGTTCTTTGGTTATTGTATGGGCAGCAGAAAGGGCAAAAATTACCATAATGAGAAAACAAACAATTATTTTAATTTCAATGACCATAAAACTTAACAAATGATATAGAATGTATTATCAACAGACCTTTTCGCAGAACAAATATACATTAAAGCATAACCAACGAACAAGTACGTAACAAACATATATGAATGCAAAACCAGCGATCATCTTTGCAGTACAAACGTACATAAAACACGACAAACGAAAAAAACTTAACCAACGTGCACGCGGTACATCTAGTCTTCCCGACTCCAGGCTCCCGACGGTCTCGGATTTTTTTTTTAAATTTCTTTTTTGTCGGTGCACAGAAACTCTTCAAACTTCTCAGGCACATTTTCTTTTTAAAATGAATTCAATAATATTTAAAAACTTAAACAAATGTGCGCATTTATTACTGAATCGATATCAGCAGTATCACCTTCCAAAAAGCGGTAAATGTGATACTCCGTTATAAATATTAAACCGAAAACGGACATCGATACAGAGAGACGTAAGTGTCGTAGATAGAAAAGGTGCATGGACACAGATTTGAAGTTAATATTTTCTGTATAATATTACGACATATATATTTTAATAGCATTTCACACAAAAAATATATTAAAAATCTTATTTCTTCTAAAAGTTATTAAAATTTCAAATTTTTAGACGGGTTTGATTGACAAATCCTAGCTTGCACTCTCACAAATTTTAATTTAATTCTTAATACCTAGGAAAAGTGGCAATCTTGTTTCATTAACTTTAAGACGAAATAAAATTAACTTCAAATCTGCGTCCATGTATCTTTAAAGATATTAAAGGTATTAATACTGAGAAGATATTTCTTCTCAAAAAGATTGAATTAGTATTTCAGTGAAAATTGGTGGTGTTAATAAAATAAATGAACAATTTAATTCTATAAAAAAATCATGACATCAAAATGAGTTGATTTCAAAAAAGATTTGTCATCAAAATCTTCATAAAAATAGCTAAATCTAACATTGTACTTATGGTAAAATAATGCAAAATGAAAGTACTGCATCGTTATATATTGACCTAGCATCGTTTTTGAAAGGAGGGGGTAACCAGAGAGAAAAAATTCAATCTGGCTGAAAAAAAGATTTTAAAAACTTTACAAGCAAAACAGAAAGGAAATTAAAATGATATAGCCCAAACTCGAAAATCCCATGTGTGTGAGTGAGGGTGTGTGTGTGTGGGGGGGGGGGTGGTCTAGGTTCAACTTCTTTCAGTATCAATTTTTTCCCTAATATACATGTACTACAGAACCCTTTTTTGACCTTACTCTTAAAATTGAGAATTGTTGCTACGTACCTGTCATATGATATGCCACTGTAAAGTTATCATAATAGATTCTTGTAATATTTAAAGAATCTGGGAAAACCAACTTATGTAACAACAACAACAAAAAATTGACGAAACGGCCTTCAGGAGAATGAGATTATTTTTTTTTACTTTTTATGTAAATTCTGTTCTTTCATTTTAAATTTTTAAGATAAATCACCCCCCCCCCCAAAAAAAAGGAAAAAATTAAAAGGGGATCCGAGGTAGAACCACGTCTATGTTGTATAGCCTGGGAACATAAACATAATGTGGCAAAGAGTTCTGTACAAAAAAATGTGTAGGGAATTTCTGTGCATACAAATTATCTAGCATGTAAATAAGGGTTTTCATTTATTAAAAAAACATAAACTGTACCTCAGTTTGTTGTTTTTAATCGCTATTCTACGAAAACATCGGTGTCCTTTTTTCAGTGGTTTTCGCATTTATAGCTGAATACTAGATTTACCGCTTTTGGCAGATGATACAGTTTGATTCAGTAAAAAATACACAAATTTGTTAAAGTTTTTATATATTAATGAATTTTTTAAACCTAGAAATTTGTCTGAGAAGTGTGAAGACTTTCTGTGCGCCGACAAAAAAGAAATCGCAAAAAAAAAAAAAAACGGGACCGTCAGGAGCCTGGAGTCGGGAAGACTAGATGTACCGCGTGCACGTTGGTTAAGTTTTTTTCGTTTGTCGTGTTTTTATGTACGTTTGTACTGCAAAGATTGTCGTTGGTTTTGCATTCATGTATGTTTGTTACGTACGTGTTCGTTGGTTTTGTTTTAATGTATATTTGTTCTGCGAAAAGGTCTGTTGATTATACATTGTATATCATTTGTTAAGTTTTTATGGTCATTGAAATTAAAATAATTGTTTGTTTTCTCATTATGGTAATTTTTGCCCTTTCCGCTGCCCATATTATTGTCACTTTACTTGGCAATAAATATAAGGTAGAATATACATTGAAACAATATAGCATGTTATATACATGTACCTGTAACTATTTCCATTTTCAATTACGTCGGACATAACTCCGACGAATTCTAAGACTTTATATGTCTAGCATCATAGTAAAGAAATAAGAAACAAGAGAATAACCAGAGCAGTGGTTAGAGCGTTTGCTCTCAGACGCGGGGACGTTGATTTTTTGAATTTATATTGCGGGCTGGGATGCAATGTGGGACATGGACACCTGTCATTTAGATGAGACCGTATAAACAGAGGTCCCGTGTCACAGTAGGTTCTGATTCAAAATAGAGCGTTAATTTCTGCTTAAATTCTGAAAGTTTCGAGTACAGGTCTTAACTTGCATATATCCAAGGCCAGCGTCAAGTAATGGCGTCTCAGTATCATTAAAAATTCTCATGATATTTAAGCAAACAAAGAAACAAACAGATAGACAAAAATCCAATGGGTAAGATCTACCTGAGTTACTATGACCCAACTGTTCTCCTTTTTTTTTTAGATTTTCAGGCTTCATTTTTACTATTTAAAATTTTGACAATACATTATAGCCCTAAAGTACTCCTGGGATTCATTAATTGAATAATTTTAAATATATTATACCTGTAGCTTAGGTGTTTCTATACAACCATGACTATAAACTAGTTTATTATTCATCAGTGATTTTTTTTTAAAAAGCCTATATATTTCTATGTCGATTTTGTTCTCCCTTTGTGCCACAGTCTATCCCAGGTCATGATTTAAAGCAAAAAAGCTTAAATTTACATTACCTTGGTTTCTTCCATAAAATTACAGCTACCATATAATAATTTGCTGTTCTTGGAAATATAATATATTTTCTAAAGTTTGATAGTATATGCTGTAATCCAATATAAAACAATTATTGTTCATTGTAGCTTTTACTCTCCTCCTAGTTGTCATGATTTGAAAATTTCCAATTTATAGAAAACCAGGATGCTTTCTTTTAAATATATCATCTTTTTTGATAAGAATAGTTTTAGAAGATTTTTGTTGTTTGCTCCTTTTAATTCTACACCTAACCCTGGATTCAAGATTTGAAGGAAAAAATGATTCTACGAATATATGGAAGTGTATCAAATATTTTTTTTTCTTCCCCAGTGGTTATTTAGAAGATTTTTAAAGGGTGATATAAGATATTTATCAATACTAAATTATATACCCTCAAATGGAGGTGTGACTCTTTATTTAAACAAACTTAATTTCCTTCATACAAGGGTGCATTGGAGCCAAATTGGATTAATTTGGCCTAGTTGCTCTTGAGATGTTGAATACGTGAACAAATTACAAACGATTGATAGAGGGCATGCGCACTTTGAACGGAAGAGTTCACTTGAGCCTCCTGCTTATGTGAGCGGAAAATTTCTGTTTCAAATATCAATTTTATGAATGTAAACAATACAATTTCTTTCAAAATTTATAGAAGCCGACAAAGTAAAAAGAGGGGGATCATGTCTTGCAGTAAACTGTGGTGGTTCTGTGCAGGGCTTTTCATACTCTTCAAATTGTTCTGAGTCATACTTTGGAGCCTGTGTCTATAAAGGTAATGTCCAAGTACATGTACATATATTATAAAAACAAAGAACATAAATAGTTGGAATAAAAGATACCTTTGCATGCCCCATTCTCTATAAACACCAGTATATCTAGCTTGTAAGTTAATCAAATATATAGAAATCTTATAAATAGTCAAATCATTTCTCAATATTGCATAGCGTAGCAACTTCTCAATAGATATGACCAATTTTTGTCAGAAAAAACTGAAAATTTACACCACTAGGAGTTCCCTGGAAGGAAGGTTTACACAAATTACTTTGAGTTCCTATACCTGGAATACAAATAAAAACACATGTTAACATACGCAGGACGTTCAATAAATAATGTCATTAGCTCGATGGCATACAACATAGTAGTCATATGACATAAAGCTTGACTTTCTCTGATTAGTGAATCTTTAATCAATTGATAACAGTTGTGTGACCACTTCTCATCGAATTATTTCATCGTAGGAAACTGGAAAACAAGGGCTATTCGAGACACTGCATTAAAAATGAATGGTCAAGAATCAATAAAAATGAGAGTAAAATTAAACGCTTAATTAAAGCAGTTGTAAAACTTGTTAATATTCCAAAAATATAAACTGAAATATGTGAAAGTTACAGCAACCAATGCCTGTTTTATAGACAGATAAACATGTAGATTTCAATAAACAAAAATTATGTAATGGGCATCAAAAATTGGTACCGTCCTTGGCAACAGTTACTTACAACAACTGATGTAAATTTTCGAAATTTCAACAAATTTCACTGATTATGTATTATTGACTTTAAGACACATAGCAAAATTGATAGAAATCATTTTGGGGATAGTTCATACTTTTTTAAATAAACTTTTTATATTAAAAATTTTTAATACTCAACGGTCACCATATATTTTTAAAAATGAGTTAAAACGACAGCGTGTAGGAATATCCATAGAGCTAACCAAAAAACGTCTTATCAGTTCTACTGTCTTATCAAAAGTCTTTAAAGAACTCCAAAGCAAATCCAAATAAACTTTCTATTGATTTCGTTTCTGTCTTTTACAGAATATCTAGGATGTTTTAAAGACCAGCCAAATCGAACCTTATCTGGAATCAACCGTATAGGAGACTTTACTTTGACTGTAGAAAGCTGTAGGGAGTTTTGTACGGACTACCAGTTCTATGGAGTTATGGTTCGCATTTTCATCCTCTGCTTTTACAGGGGATATTTTATTTAATTTCTTTCTCAATCTGTCTGTCAGATTTTCTGTCTCTTTCAAAAAATGTAACCTTGGTCACTTTAATAATTATCTTTTACTGTACATTACCTGCGACAAGACCTTACCAAATATTTTATGATGTTTGACCCTGTGAACTTGACCTTCACGATTTTCCTTTTAAAAAAAAATACTTTTTTAATCTTAATGCATTTTACCTTCATCTTTAACCTTATATTGAAAAAATTTAACTTTGGTGAAAACTTATGAATGATATTTAAGAAACCGTAAATTATTACATCTCATCCAAGACTCTGAAAACCAATGGATCACAATTCTTTGAACTTGCTTGATTACTCACTTGTGTTATTATACATTTTTTCAGTGAGGAGAAATACGTATTTCCACTGAGAACTTTGAGATTTCTTTTACTTATAGTTTGGTGGAGAATGCTTTTGCGGGAATTTTTTTACATCATTTATCAAAAAGCCTGAAAGAGAATGTAATATGAAGTGTAATGGGGACACAAGGCAAACTTGTGGTGGTGCCGACCGGATCAACATCTACAGTAATTTAAATTACGAGACAGGTATTCTTCAAGAAAATCTGCAAGCATTTTCTTTACATGATCCTACTTTCCAGCTTAACTGAAGAAGTAGGCAATGTATAACATAGTTTTTATTTGCTAAAGGAATATTATAATATTCCTTTCATTTTCCAATCCTGTATATATTCTGTTGATGAATTCATTTTTTTACTCTTTCATATCCATTCACTGACAAAAATACTCGAACAGTGAAATATTTTATTAGCGAGGAATGATTTCTCTGATTTACATTATCTCATTTTTCCTGTAGCGTTTATTTTTCTTAAGATACGTTCTGAATCATGATGTCGTTTTCACAGATATTATCTTTAATGAAATCAGTACTCAATCTCAAAAGTCCATTAAAACATTACAAATTTTGGGCATGTTTTTGCGTATCGAATCAAGTAAGACATATAAACTAAACATATGCAGATAACAATGGTATATTGCTTTTTAAATAAAGGAAGATGACCATAGGAAATTTCACTTTATCACATATATAATGTTTCATAGTAGGTTGCCATTAATTAACGTCTATTTCTTGTAAAATATCCAAATACGAAACATATGTGCCAGGCTCTGTGGTATCCTTTTTGAGCTCAAAGGGATGTATGAAAATGAAATTCTTGTTGATAAAACATCGTGGATACATCTAAACGTTGAATTGAGGACGCATCTACATGTTGACTTAAAGCACCACTTCAAGAGACTTGATATTTTCCCATGAAGAGGTTTTTTAGAATACATTATGCTACTTATGAATACAAAATAGTTCTGTACTTTAAAAACGGGACGCAGTTAACCCAGAAGGGATTCTAACAGATGGTTGGAAGATTTAATCTCAAAAAACACACATAGACAAAATTTAACAAAAAACTTAAGCATATTTTTGAAATCAATTTTGGAGTATCAATTTTAACTCTTTGCCCCTTGCGCATTCTATGACGTAATAGTAGCATTACATTTGTTACTTTTTGATTACGTTATCCTTTTCCCCGCAGCGCATTTGCGATAACGTGCTGATAAGACGTGTTTATTTGCACGGTGTAAGTATCAGCTGTTGCGGTACATGTATACTAGTCAAAATTACTAACGCCCCAGACGATATTTTTAAAAGCATTACCTTTAAACGCAATTATGTTGACTAAACCTTTATGTAAGATGAAGGAAAAATAAATAAACAAATAAATTTCATTTTTATTCCATCAAAATCTATTGCTATGCTTGATGAAAATTAAGTTCCGGTATAGGTACCCTGCAATTCAAAATTCTTAACATTCAGTACCGAGTATGTCCCCCATTTGCACGAATGACAGCAAGACATTCTCATAGAGTTCACATAATTGTGCAGAAATCTTTGAGGGAGGTTATTCCATGTGTTAACAAGATCCCTTTCCAGTACCACCAAATTCTGCTGCTTGGGAATCTGTCTTATCCTTCTGTCTGGCTCGTCCCACACATGTTCAATAGGATTGAGATCCGGACTACATGGGGGCCAGTCGAGTAAACGGATGTTGTGTCCCTGCAGCATCTGTTGTGTAGTTCTGGCAGTGTGGGGAGTGGCGTTGTCCTGCATTAGCATCATTCCTCTATTGGCTCTGATGTGAGGAATTGCTTCCGGCTGAAGGATGTCGGTCTGATACCGAGCAGCATTCAGGTTTCCTCGGATTGGAAGTATCCTGATTTTCGTGTGTAACGACACACCCGCCCATACCATTATCGATCCACCACCAAACTGCCCTCTTTTCCCTCACACAGGCGTCAGTGTACCGCTCACCCGTTCTTCGATACACCCGGCTTCGTCCGTCAGATCGTCGCAAGTTGAACCTGGACTCGTCCGTAAAGAGTACACGGCCCCAGTCTGCCCTTGTGAATCTGAGGTGGCGCCTTGCCCAAGCCAAACGGAGCTGCCTGTGCCTGTCCGACAAAACTAAGCCTACATATGCTCTCCTGGCACGCAGTCCACCCTCCCTTAGTCTGTTGCGCACAGTTTGGTCACTCAGGCTTGCCATGCGTTCCCATTGTTTGTCGCGCCGTTCTGCGTGCTGTACGATGTCTGTTCCTAAGATGCGCAACTCTAATGTAGTTGTCCTTTTGGCGTGTCGTCACTCGACGTTTCGGTCTTCGGGGTAGATCATCTGTACTTCCGGTTTTATTGAATTTCCGAACGAGCATTAGTATGGTTTTATGGTCTCGGTTGAAAGTTCTAGCAACCTGAAAAAGTTTTAATCAATTTATTTAGCTTTTTTATTAGTTTCTAAATGTTGGAAGAAAAAAAATTGTACAAAGCGAAAAGAAACACACCTCCCGTGAACTGCTCCCGGCTTGGACCATGCCAAATGCTCTTGCGCGTTCTTGTGCAGACATATGCGTCTCATTTTCTCCCAAACTTTGACTGTTTTTTAAGATGATCTTGAGACAGAGAACACGTGGAAAAAACCGTTTTGAAAAACACACCCGAAAACCATTTCGAACTCGTACTTCACGCTTTTCAACAAAAGCGGTCACGGCTGAATAATTTCTAATTGAATTCGATTTTTTTTCAATCGCAGACATGAAAGGGTACATACAGCAGACGATGTTTTTAAGGACTTTAATATTAACATAACTGTTTCTTTAATTTTCAAAAAATAAAAGTGGGGCGTTAGAAATTTTGACAAGTATATATATATCGCCCTAGTATTTATGCAACCAACTGTAAAATGAATTCAAGTATTTTGTTGATGATCTAATCCTGTGTTTAAATAATTCTTTTATGTGGTCTTTTACAAACCTAATATATCATATCATAGCTTACAAGTAAAATTTATAATAGATTTTAAATCTAAATCTAAAACTTCGTTCAAAATAATTTTATGAGTTTCCAGACAGGGTATCATTTCTTATGCTCGGGTTAAAATGACTAACAACGATACTTCCCCCCTCCACCACCTTTTTTTTTTTAAATTTCTTAAGTCACAAGCATAAGCATTTTATCAAAACTTGCAGAATCTTTCAATTATAAATAAAAATAGAAATGAAGTCTAGAAGAGAAGGATTATCACTTGAGAAAAATTTTATAACAGTATTTTATAGATTTTTTAGGACAAAAAAAAGGAGTTGTAGCTTTCGGCACATTTAACTTGATTTATATGTTCGATAGTTGTTTTTTTTTTATTTAAAAATTTTACTGGAATATCGCTTCATTTCTATAGAACAATACAATTTAGCATACTGTCGATGGAATACATTTGAATTTTTAAAATGCATAAAGTAAAAATTTAACTGATCAAATCTTCTTATTCATATTTTGGCCGATGAACGGATGAAATACTGCCGTTGGACCGGCATTAAGATAATCAGTCTTAAATTAGCGGTGTATATCTATAGCCAATTGTTTCCGATCCGACATCTAGTGCATGGTGGAGATGTGAATCAATCGGGATCTTAATTTACACCTACAGGTACATGTGGACTAAATGGTTTAAAAATAAAAAAAATTGGGAGGAGGGGCTAGAGCCAAAAAGTGAATAAATTGATAAATAAAAAGAAAAAAATCGAAAAGAAGTATTTCTTTGGAATGGAATTTTTTAAAACACTTTTAAAAACAATAGAATAGTTTACAAAAGAGTCTAAGAACTCCTCGGACGTAGCGATCAGTACTCGACATTTTACCGATGTTGTCCGATATTTCATAGTTTATTGGCAATTTTTAGTTAACTTTTATTTTCCGACATTTATGAAAAAGTAAAACTGGGACTGAAAACTTTCCTAACTGAAAATCAAAATGAACAATAAATTATTGACATTAATTCAAAGTAATAAAAGTAGAAGCTTAGCTGCAGATCTGTATCTCTCCGAAAAAATATACTGACAGACCGGAGAGCTATAGTGCCTCCCATTGTAAAACTGTATATTTATTACGCACAAAAAGTTGCGCTTAGTTTTGGGTTAATTCTTCCAAATTCTTACCTCAATCGCTAAAAAGATAGATTTAAAAAAAATTTCTTACTCCTCTATGAAGTACTCTTGTATTTTACATCGGCACAAATTGTGTTGGACCGAATTATCAAGGCAAACGAAATGGCATTATAAATAGACAAAATTTTCGATGATCTCAATTTCAGGGCCAGGAGGGCTATTGACAACATAAGGAGTTGTTGTTGTGGAAACAGCGAAAGAATATGTTAGGAACACACGGTTACTAATATTTTGAGATGACAGTTTAAAACACGGAGAAATAAATCGTGAAACAGCACACTTTTTCGTGCGCAATAAATATACAGTTTTTTCAATGGGTGGCACCTCTCCGGTCTGTCAATATATTTTTCGGAGAGTTACAGTTATGCAGCTAGTAAAAGCTTTGCTTCGTTTTTAAAGAAAACCATGTAAAATCTGAGATCAGTATCATGTGTCTCCGACCAAGTTAAAGCACTGATATAATATAATTCAAGTGTACTTGTTTTTTCCTTACTTATCGATTATTTATAAACTTGGTAGACATGCCCCCCCCCCCCCCAAAAAAAAAAAACAAACAAACAAACAAACAAACCGGAAACACAAACAATGACGGAAATGCTGAGCATCATTCCTGAGATTATATCAATGAAGTACATAATTTATAATCAGTTCTTCTATATGGCAAGCTGTTGATCGAGAAATAAAATGTTATGCAGAAATTCTGAATATACAGGTAATTCCGGAGATAGATGTTGTAAATAATTTAGATCGCTGTTGGTCAAAGATTTCTATCCTTCCCCCCCCCCCAAAAATGGAGTTTTTTTTACCGCCTGTATGCATTGCTTCTCATAAAATGTATATTTTGCACTCCCCTTTTAATACAGTCACAACTTAACTGTCCATTCACAAGGTGGATATCAATCAAATGTTTTTTTTTGTGTATAACATAGACATATACTGCTGGAAGAATCACATCAAACCATATCGTTGTCCTCTTATGGAGGTTTACTCCCCTAGTTTTTCTTAAACCTATCATTGCTAGTGTATGCAGTGTTAACAAACTTGAACCTACTGTTTTACCCTAGTGTGTTTGTCCGTTTGTCTAACTGTTTGTGTAGCTGTTCGTAACAAAGTTTTGGTCGTAGATTTTGCAACAACTACTCCACACAGACTCTTGAAATTTTAGTACATTCTTCACTGAGGAATTCTATATCGTAGGATCTATTCTTTTTTTAAATCCGATGTCAACTGCCTGTTAATCCGTGCGTCTGTCGTTCAATACATAACACATTTCCGTCGCTTTTTTCCCGCAATTACGTGTATTGCAGATGCTTGATATATTAGCACATACTTTATTGTGGCATGCCATATGATGGGATTTATTTTTGTATGAATCTGATGTCAACTTCCTATTTGTCCGTGTAATGCCAGTAACTGAACTTAAATTTTAATTAAGATAGCAGTGTATATTCACCTGATATAGGGGTATTACTAGCGATCATTGGCTCACAGACTTGTTGTTTGTCAAGTCCAGTTTTAAAAAATATCAAACAAGCATGTAGTATACTTGCATAAAATTTTCCAATACCTTGTTTTATGCATATACATGTACGTATATTTTTAAAAATCAATACATACGAGTAAGTGCAACACTTTTTTTTTCGAATATTGGACACGTTGACTTGATAACGAAATCATTCAAATTTAAACTAACCTACATCATCTTTTTCAACATGATATTGTCGTTTCTTTAGGTTTTTTCCCTTTCAAGTGTGTATGTATTTTTTTTATTGCTGTGTAAGGCGGAAACAATAAGGCTGTACTTTTACGAATCTGAATTTAAATCGAACAAGAAATAAGATTAAATGTATTTAAAACAAAGCTTTATTCTATGAACAAAACCTCATTTCTCATCAGCTGTATGCGTATGTATTAACTTCAATATTCCTTTGTAATTTTATACGTTCCTTCTGTCGATTTCTGCACGAGCTTTTATCAAACAATATACATAAAAAAACCATTTGTGAATTTGATAAATTCTGGATTAAGGGTTCCATCTCACACAAGATTGAGGGACTTCCACATCACTAAACCAGTGGATCAAGTGGTGAGCTTATTTAGTGTCAAAAGAAAGACATTCTTATATTGTCTAGCAACCCAAGTTTCGTCAAATAAATCGAAGGACTCGGACATATTAAATGGAGGGAAAAATATTCGTATTTGCGAAATCTATTAGAATGGAATTACGAAAATTATTATCTAAATCATTTATTATCCTACCATGAAAACCTAACGCGTAATCAGAGCAGAAAGCGTCAAAAACCAAATGAGCGTTTAAGTGCGTGATTGCGGGGCAAAAGTATATGCGTTAAAATGCATGATTGCGGGGCAACGGTATATGCGTTAAAATGCGTGATTGCGGGGATGGGGGTTAAAAAAATGTAACTTTAAAAAATAAATATGAGTTTTCAAATGACCTTTGACAAGTTAAACAAATTTACAAGTTCATTTTTCTTGAAAAAGCGATGTCTTTGTTATCAGAAATCCCGACTTTTTATTCTGCGTTGGGAATGATTGATTAAAATGTGAAAGTATTTTTTAATTATGAGTTACATATTATCTAGTGTAAAATCTACATAGACAAGTCACTAAATACATTTACATTAGATTAATAGAAAATAAATAGAGTTTATATATATTTTTTTATGAGGGGGATAAGTGTGACAATATTGTATGATCATGTTACAGATTGGAGTTTATCTATGTGTAGCTTAATGGCTTCATAAAAGTTATTACACCAAGACCTCGGGACATTTCAATAGTAATACACATCAAGTAATAAATTGACATGTCTTCCCATCATAAGAATCATCTGTAAGTTAAATGGAATACATACTTTGTGCTTAACACATTATTTCAATTTTAAAAGAAAAAACATGAGAAAAAATCTCGACTACCTCAGATATGCAATTACAATTTTTATTGTTGAATATTTTGATTGGTGGATGCAAATTTACCTGAATTGTCTCAGTTTTCATTATTTCCCCCCATTTTTTCATGTCGACTTTTGCGTAATGCTTACACATGAATATTAATCAATCAGAGATAAAAACAAACTGGACATCATCAATGCAGATTTGTAAAACAAGGTCTCCCTCGTCTTACTTAATTGGAAACGTCTCCCTGACTGACGCCACTTTAGCTTGTAAACAATTGCAAAGGAGACAGAGAGGGATATCCTGGCTAAGCATCGCAAAAGAAATGTGTACTGGGTTTGATCGAGGTAAGAAAGCTATAATTTATTTTTATCTTTTCTTCTTTTTACCACTACACCATTCCTACTACGTTTGTTTTTGATCTTTTGAATGTAAAACATGAGATTGTATTATCCCCTTTGATAATAATTGAAATGTAAATGGCGTTAACGATTAAATATATTTGCAGTACAGGCATACAAATTATACTTGACAAGATGTATACGTATATAAGTACTTTGACATTTGTTCGATTTCTTTGTGATATCAGAGGAGACAAATGGAGCAAAAAAGCAACATTGTCGAATTTTTTTTATTAAGCAAACAATTATGGATTAAATATTTTCATCACAAATAATACAACATGCATTTTATTAGCATTTTTATAGAGACCCAGCTTAAATTTCTGACAGGTGTTGCTGTTAAAATCCAAGAAAAAGAAACGTTTCACCAGTGCCAAAAATGCAACCGGACTGGCTGTGAATTTGTCGATTGTTTTGAAAAGCTTGATTATTTAATTTGTGAAAAGGTATTGTAAAAATGTATTTCAGAATTTTTTTTTTTTTTTTTCATTCTTTCCTCATTAATAAGAATCTATAACTTACCAACAATCACATTTCAGAGAAGACATAAAAGAACAAAACATTCATGAAAGTTTATGTCCCTTATTGCTTCCGATTTTCATTAACTTTTTTTAGATAACATACATTTTTTCAATAAGCAAATATGATTTTAATTAAAATTGAAAAGCATAAGTATGTAATGTGCTATGGTTTTGCGTGAATAACATTTGGTCAAACAATTTATCAATCTATTTCACTTTTGGATAATTTTTTTTCAGGACTCAGGTTTTGAAATACCTCAAAGGAAAGCGACAGGTAAGCAGCCAAACATAGTTTTTGATCTGTATGTGTAATTAAGCTTTAAAGATCTTCAAATCAGAGAAATGCTTGTCAAATATTCATCATTAATTCCTTTTTAAAAAAATCTAAATTTTGAAAAAGGACATATTCGTTGTTAACAATGTACAAGCACGAATATTCGTTGTACACAATGATAAACGAAATTAAATCCCACGCATTTTTTTTTTATTGGGTTTACTTTCAAAACAATTAATTATGCTTTAAAGATATTCAAATTAGAGAAATGCTTGTCCAATATTTATTACTTCCTTTTTGAAAAAAATTATATTTTGTAAAAGCACAAATATTCGTTGTTAACAATGTACAAGTTTATCTCTCAAACATTTGACAAGCTGCTTTGTATATGTTGTGAAATCTAATACCTATCCTGTACAAGTGAAGAAAAAATTGGATTTGATCCCTTGTCATTCATGTGTTTGCATGGTGATCATTCAGAATGTGATGAATGGTGCAAGTAGAAAGAAAACCCGCAAGAATACCGTCCAAAGAATTTACCATACGATCAATACTTAACTGTAAAAAACTACTCCCAAGATTTTAAACATTTATTTAAACATTCTCTCCAAAATGTCTGACAACCTTGTGAACATTGCAATCACCCAGGTAGTTAGAACAATTACAATTAGGCTAACGTTACACCGTTTACAAATATTACTAAATCTATGTGTGTCTTTTTTTCTAGCTCGGTTTCTGTTTCAAACATTTTATTGGAAACATTGTACTTATAAACGTTAATTTAACTTTGATTGGCGTGCCTTCTTATAAGTCAGTCTTATTAGATATGTAACCGATAACATCTTTTAATTTCCAAAGACTGAGCATAGATTCATTAAAAGCTCCTGGTTTGCATTTGCACATTGGTTAGCAAATTAGAAGTGTATGTGTGTGTGAATCGAGTAGGAACAGGGTGGAATTTGGTGTTTACTTCGTATATCTATTATTATGAACATGCAGAAACAATACATTCTATTATTGGAGAGAGAAAGAGAGAGAGAGAGAGAGAGAGAGAGAGAGAGAGAGAGAGAGATTTAAATCAGTATATGTAATCATTATAACTGTCAATAAATCCCTCCGTGCAATATTCTTACACTTGCCGGTATAAATCAATAGTTTTTTTCTGAAATTATATGTTGTTCCTTTGTCAGATTTTTTTTTTATCTTTTCAATTCTTTGAGCCCTCGAAGTAAAATTTAAGCCCCTCAAAGATATTTTGTATATTTTTTTCCCAAAATAAATTTTAGAATTATGCGCATGATATCTGGTGAAGGTATTGATACTAAATTCAAATGTCTGGTTTTACAAGGTATCATAAAATGGTTTAAAAGGTAGATGGCTTGTTGATATAAGTGTACGTGTGTTTTCCTTTTAGTTTTACTTTATCATTTTATGTCGTGAAATTTCTTGTCTATAAAATAGGTTATGACATAAGTAAGTTATCTGATTTTTCATTATAAGAATAATATATTCCGTTTTTTAAAGTTCCCCAATCTTGTGTTTAAAAAAGATCTTACGTCTGAAACTGAATAGAAAACTACTAGCATATAAAATGATTCTAATTTTAAAAAGTAACAATTTTTGTCACATTTATTTCTAAATAAAATTCCAGGTTATCTTTGAAAAATCCACTGAAGTCTTATATTTCAAAGTTTCTACATTACTAAATTTTCAGATTCCTTGAATAACCAAGGACTGCTGACTGGAGTGGTAATCTGTGGTATACTAGTCGTTATATTAACTGGAATCGTCATCTTCTTAATCATCTATATTATAAGAATTAAGGAAAGGTACAGTATTGCTTTGAATATATTTTGTTGTTTATTTCGAAATTTTGTACTAAATGAATGGAAGGGTAATCTTGGAAATGCTAGAAATCCATCAAATCAGAATATATAACCCTCAGTTAAGCTGATTGAATATCCGATATTTAAATCAATGACATTCATTTTTTTTTTTTACAGAACACATTCTTCTGACAATAACAAGAAGAACTATACAAGCAATTCATCAACTGTTGTGGTAACCGGTCGTCCAACGTCAGCCTATACCACATTAAATCCAAGTCAAGTAAATGACACAAATGAACAGCATTACACCGGATTATCGAATGTTTCTGAGTGTATTGAGATTCACTAATTATTCGTGGTCACATGTACATTGACAATTTTGTTAAATAATGCAGCTTAGATGAAAGTTGTTTTAATAAAAATGAAGATAGAAAAAATAAGGAGGAGAAAAGAGACAAACTAGACAAGAGGGAAAGTTTTTGACTTTTATTTGGAAAATATTGAATAATAAACTTTTATTTCACCCTTAGTTAGGTTTCTTTGTAATGCTTCACTCTACATAATCAATTATCGTCTGAACCCTTGCCTGGATTTACGCATGGAGCAACAAAGATAACTATTTTGTTTTTACTTTTTCTGTAACGATATACTCGCTTTTTGCATTTTAAATACAGTAAAAAATTAAAGGTTATATCAAAGTCCTTGGGATCTGTAAATTTAATTGGTTATAATTAAATCTGCAATTTGTTTTATCCGGACCAAGAATTCGTATAACTACAGTGTATGCCGGTATAAAGCAAATTTGCAATAACATGTTTTCTAGACAGACCCTAAACCGTGTATACAG